TGCCATGTTTGGCACGCGTGCCAGGGGTTGCCCACTCCTGACCTGGATCAACCCATGATTTTGTGTGTTTGGGATTCTCAAAATAAATCCACTTTTCATTGCCAGTCACAATTCAATGCACAAAAAGACTTTCTTTCATGCAGTTGAAGCAACATTTTACTGATTACTTTTCCGTTTTCCATTGGTCTTTCGTTCAGTTGATGTGGCACCCATTTTCCTTCCTTTAAAAACTTTTCCATTGCTTGTAAATGATCAGAAATGGCTTGCTGAGCAACGTTTAATCTTTCTGCAAGTTGTTTTTTAGTTTGATGCACATCTTCATCCAATAATGCTTGTAATTGTTGGTCTTCAAACTTTTTCAGTTGACCTGGACGTTGTCTTTCACATAGAAATCATTACTTTTAAAGCGTCTTAAACCAGCATTCACAAGTATCTTGAGATAGAGCATGTTCACCATAAGCCTCCCAAAGTATACGATGACTTTCAGCAGCACTTTTCTTCAAAATAATGAATTAAAACTGAAAGGGCGAGGACTACGCCCTCCATCTTGCCCCGAATCCTCCATGTTGGGGCAGCAGCCATGTGCTCAGGAAAGCACCTTCTTCCTGGAAGCCCAAGCCTCTGCTAGCCACGCCCAGGATTTCTTTAAATTAACCAATGACAATCAAGGGACGTGCGCGCCATAGATATGACCACATCCTGTGTAACAAGACCCGACTTGCACCTGTCCAATCGGCAGGGCCCACAGTCATCTCTCCTCCCCTCACTCCACCCCCCTATTAAAAACCCCTTTTTCCCAGGGGCTGGCACTCTTGTCTCGCCGCTGCGTCAGTGGAGGCTGGGAGCCAAACCCGGGTTTGATAATAAAGACTCTCTGCTTTTGCATCTGACACGGCTGGCTCCCTGTTGGTCTATTGGGGATCTTGAAATCTGGGCATAACAAAAACTTCCCACAAATGCTCTTTTTTTGGCATGAAATTTGACATTTTTAAGAGTAAAAATATCTATGATGTTTACACCTTCAGAAAATTTGACATATGTAGTTTTGAAGCTTGTTGTCAATACAACAAAATAGCATACATATCAAATCGCATATATATCAACATATGTGTAACTCCATCTATTGAAAAAAAATCCGCATTATTCACCGGTACACCTAGTATATGTGCTACAAGCCTGCTCCATATCTATCTATGTCACTACCTGATTGATTCCCTCATTGTTTTTGCCCAGGAAAGGACCTGAACTTTCTCTGTTTCTATGTGTACGTACACCTTGTTTACTGCAGGCCCTTCCTTGGTTTCCCATGCCTCCTGCTCTGTATCCAAAAACATTTTTTTTTCCAACATGGTTGGTTTCTGTTATCAGGGTTGCTCAAACTGCCATGTCTGCCCCTGTCCATGTTCCACCTGCCTTTTGTTTCCCACTGGACCCCTGCCTTATCTGCCTATGTTTCAAGCTAATTTCTCTCACTATTGTTCCACATGTATTTGGAAATAATATATGTCCTGCTGTTGTTGGATGTTCTATAAATGTTGTTAACATAAAAATATTCAAACATGTAAAAAATTTTTGTGAGTTTGAGCCAAACTGTTGACAATTGTCGGGAAGCAGAACCTCAACCAATTGAGATAATGCTCTGGAGAATGGCAGGTTACATCTGTATTTATACACTAGAGGTCCAGTGCACAAATTTGTGCACGGCTGGGGCCTCTTGGCCTGGCCAGTGATCAGGTCAATGGGAGCTGGCTGGCTGGGGAGGGACCGAGGGAGGGCTCCAGGGCATGTCTGGCCCGTCTCACCCAGTCCCTATCAGCTGGACCCCAGCAGCAAGCTGACCTACCAGTCCTAGCGTCTGCCCCCTGGTGGTTAGTGCACGTCATAGCAACTGGTCAAATGGTCACCTGATCGGTTGGACACTAGCATATTAAGCTTTCATATATATAGATTGCAATAAAAGGAAGGGACTTAGGTGGGTTACATGAAATCCACTGTTGATAGACTAGAGAGGTGGGAGAAAGCAAAGCGGGGAAACCCCTGGGATTGGATAAAATACTTAGGTGGGTGCAGAACAATTAACATGATAACAATGAAGGAATTTGTGGTATCTGTCCTGGCGCCCAGGCATCTTAGGTTGTGCTCTAAGGGATCCGGAAAAAGGGAAGTTACAAGTTACCCAGACATTTCAAGTGTATGTTATTATTGATGTAAAAAGACTCATGACCTCAATTAAGGTAAAGGTTGACCTTGTCAGTGAAGATACAGGCCTAGGATGTAACTACCCACCACAACTGCTTTTAGTTAAAGTTTAATTTCAGACCATCCTTTGTGGTTACTTTAGGTCTCTGAGTTTGCAAGACCGCTATGCACGCCTTCCCTGAGCTTGTCAGGTTAGCACGTGGCCCCTTTCGTCCACAAAGTCAATGGAATTGTGTTGGTTGACCTCTAAATCCTTACTTACTTTTCCTACTTCTACCCAATTCCTATAAGAGAAGTATTGATATCTCTACAATTGTGGATTTATCCATTTCTCTTTTCACTTCCTTTTTCTTTTAATCCTCACCCTAGGATGTTCTTTCATTGATTTTTTTTTTAAAGAATTTTTGTGAGTTTATTTGAGCCAAACTGTTGACATATGCCGGGAAGCAGAACCTCAGTGAATTGAGATAGTGCTCCAGAGAATGGCAGGTTACATTTGTATTTATACATTGCAATCAAAGGAGGGACATAGGTGGGTTACATGAAATTCATTGGTGATAGATTAAAGAGGTGGGATAAAGCAAAGTAGGGGAAACCCCTGGGATTGGATAAAAAGTAAAATGAGGGACACTTACTTAGGTGGGTGCAGGAACAATTAACATCATAATGAAGGAATTTGTGGTATCTGTCCTGGCGTCCTGCACATTGGTTGTGCCCCACAGGGGCTTTCATTGATTTTTAGAGAGTGGAATAGAGAGGGAAAGACAGAGAGAAATATTAATGTGAGAGAAACACATTGATTGGTTGCCTCCTGCAAGTGCCCTGATCAGGGCCCAGGCTGGGGAGGAGGCTGCAACCGAGGTACGATCCCTTGACCGGAATCGACCCTGGGACCCTTCGGTCTGCAGGCTGACCCTCTATCCACTGAGCCAAACTGGCTAGGGCCACTTCTGTAAGTTTTTGTTTTTGTTTTGCTGCCTGTATTTTGAAGCTATGCTATTAGGGGCATACACATATAGGGTTATGTCCCCTTTATTAATTGACACCTTTATTGATATGGAAAGTCCCTCCCTTTTAATCTTTGCTAATATTTCTTGTTCAAAAATCTGTTATTTATATAGCCACTCCAACATTCTTTTGATTAGTATTAGCATGGTTTATCTCTTTTCATCGTTTTTCTTTGTGGAAGAAAAGAGGCCTGGCTGCATGGTGACTTTGCAAACTCAGAGACCTAAAGTAACCACAAAGGATGGTCTGAAATAAAAACTTTTTAACTAAAAGCAGTTTATGGCAGGTAGTCATGGCCTAGGCTAGACTTTCTCTGACAAAAGTACTTCTTTAACTTACCTAAGTCTGTCTTATGTCTTTTGTATCTATGATAACATATCTTTGAAATGTCAGGGTAACTCCCTTTTTTCCCCAGACCCCTTAGGGCACAACCAACATACCACACCAGAAACCATAAATCTTCTTGGTTTGTTATCATGTTAACTGTTAACTATATGTAAGTAAAAGACGTATGTGTCTATCATTTTACTTTTCATCCAATCCCAGAGATTTTCCTGCTTTGCTGTCTCCTACCTCCCTCTAACCTATCAACAATGAATTTCATGTAACCTACTTGTGTCTTCTCTTTTAATTGTAATGTATAAAATAAGGTACAAACCTGCCATTCTCTGGAGCATTATCTCAATGAGTTGAGATTTTGCTTCTGGGCAATTATCAAATTGCTGGGCTCAAATAAACTCACAAAAATTCTCTATAGGTTTGAATGTTTTTTTACATTGATATCTTTTTAAATATATTTTTATTAATTTCAGAGAGGAAGGGAGAGGGAGAGAGAGATAGAAACATCAATGATGAGAGAGAATCATTGATCAGCTGTCTCCTGCACACCCTCTGCTGGGGATCAAGCCTGTAACCTGGGCACTTGCCCTTTACCAGAATTGAACTCAGGACCTTTCAGTCTGCAGCCCGACACTCTATCCACTTCGGCGGGGCCATAGGTATCTTTTTATTTAAAGTGAGTTTCTTATAGACAGCAGATAGTTGAGCCTTGGGTTTTAATTGAATCTTACAATATTTATTTTTTAATTGGATGTTTAGGTCATTTATATGTAATTTAATTATCAGTATGTTGGGTTTAAAAGGAAGAAGAAAAGAAGGGAGTCGGAAAGGGGGGGGGGGGGAGAAAAGGACCCTGGATTGGGAGTTGGGAAACCAGGTTGAAGTCCTGACTGTCCCTCCCAGCTCTGTACCTTTAGGTAAATCTCCTTACTCCCCTGAGCTATAGTTGCCTAGCACATGTTTGTAAGATGAATAAGTTATTTATAAACTACAACATGCTCTGAAATTGTAAGGATTAAAGGATTATCCAGCGACAGACATATAGACAGGTACCATAAACCAAGGTATGAGTAGCTCAGAGACAGATCTCATTTGTTTCTACATTTCCAGCACCTAGCCCTGTGCCTGACACATAGAATGATACCAGTAAGTGTTGTTAAGTGAATGAGTCAATGAAAGAAGTAACTTTGGGGAGGTGGAGAGGGTCTGGGAGGAGGGGGGGAAGGGGAGGAAATGGGAGATATCTGTAATACTACCAACAATAAAGATGTATATTAAAAAATAAATAACAAAGAAGTAACTGTTTTTCTCTCTCTCCCTCTCCCTTCCTCTCTGAAAACAATCCTATATGATAAAGATGTAATATACAAATGGTCGTTACATAACGACTGTTATGCCCAGATTTCAGGATCCCCAAGAAACCACACCAGGGAGCCAGCCAGGTCTGATGCAAAAGCATAAGAGTCTTTATTCGAGCTAGCTCGGCTCCCCCACCTCGCCGA